AATTTATTCATGAAGCCATCGTACCTAGTTTTACTGCTCACATTATATTGGTTTAAGTTGGCTAACAATTCCAGCATAAAGTTTATTAGTACATAAAGTATATCAACAATGGTTGTAACGTTCCATATTAAATATCGCTAGGATCTCCCTTACAGTAATAAACGTTTGAATATGAATCGTAAAATTCTGTTATCTTGGTGTGGTTAACATAAAATTTTGTCTCCAGAGCAATCTATAAGTGGACGTGATCGTTACAACTTCGTTTCTTGAGATGATGTGACGTCGTATTGTGTCACTTTACTTAAGATATGAATAATGGTCGTCTTGAAGTTGTGCAGACAGGCTGTGCGATGTTTGAGTAGTGTAGGTAATCGTCAATGTAACGTTTCAAATATCTTAACACCTTGGGTTTCTCTTGTAATATTTTATTTAGCTTCCTCCACTGCGAAAGCCGTGATAATTTTACCTAAAAATATTTAAAGATTCTCATCTGTAACTTACAACGACCACATGTTAAGTTGTACTCCATAAATAAAGGAATACGGAAATGCGGTACTCTAAGACTATATTCTAAACAGAGTGTGGGGTTGAAAAATTGCAGCAGTGTGCAAGTAGTGACACTTTGCTAGATCGTAGCACCCGGCGCCATTACATGACCCGTATCGACTGGCGCGGAATTGTAAGCAGCTGAAGCATTTAGATATTTTCCGCCCATTGTAGACTAGAAACGGACGATTTATATTAATAGAACAATATACTGCTTTGGTTTTCGTATCGATTTTACCATTAGCACTCGAATCCTTTACTTTAAGGTACATAAGTCCTTCTTAGTTTGTACATAAATTACCAAGAAGAAGAATTGGTTTGACCAAATAAGGGATTGAAGAGATGGTTAGAGTATGTAAGCAGTGATATAATAGAGAAAGGATTTGTGATAGGATGACGTTTGAAAAAAGATAATGAAAAAATAAGAAGACGTATTGTGCCGACCTTAATTAATTTGGGATTAAGCCAAGAAGATTTTTTTTATGGGATAAGCTGGTAAACGAGCAGATATGTATATCACCTGATGGTAAGCAATTGGCGGATACCTTTTTTTTAAGGGGGAAAATTATCCAATGAGTTCTCTCGGGTGAGGCGAGAGGGAGTGTCTAGAAACCACCCCGTTCCTACTCCTGCACTTCGAGCCAGAGGCCCGACAACCTGTTAAATCCTCCGCGCCTCCGTATCGGCATCAGCCCTATTGGACCTCATCTGTAGTAGTCTGATGGCTAATGGACGGATACCTGGAACACCAGAGGCGTTACAATTGCGTTACCGGCCTTTTGGGTATTAAGAATTTGAGGATTGTTGAGTATTCAGGAATTGAGGAGATTGGGGAAAGGATGGTGGTAATCACAAAGCAAGCGTTGTTTCACGTCGGTTTTCTGTGAGGCCGTCTCCTGCACTTAAACACAGATAATGATAATGGGTTATGAATTTCAGCTAGTTCGCAGTAATTGTCCCACCCTGTTGATCTAGAACTCACAGGTCTACAAATGTAGTACTAAATCAAATCAATCTTATCTCCCCGACCTAGTTAGGTAATAGTTCTAAGTTCATGTTTAAGTTTTAGTTCAAGCAAATGATGGAATTGAAGTTTCATGTACTAGTTGTTTGATTGGATTGATGGGTCAATTCAAAGTCCCGAAATTACTTTTAGAGATCAAATACAATACCTATACATATCGTGGACTCAATAATTTTCATATAAATCCTACGATTATTTTCATTGCTATCTGGATATACTAAAGGGAATTGAATGTCCCGTACTTCTTTCCAACACTTGGTGGGCGGACACTATCCTGTTACTCAGTACCCATAAAACACTACGTACGATACACGTTTTACAGTCCACTACTCTATTTCTACAACTACCGTCATCAGGGTCCCTAGTAAAAACGCAGTGGAATGTGAAAAGGTAACCGGTGCCGTGTTTCGCGCATTCGCAAGAGATACGGGAATCCTGCCGGTATATTCAGTTCAATAAGAATTTATGCCCTCATATTTCGTATCATCAATACCGTTTATTTTCCACACGTTTTCCTTGTCGGTTCAGTCGGGCGGTGGAAATACATTTCGGAGAATTTTTCTCTTGCAAAAGATAGAACTAATTTTGCATAGGTGTTCCTTCATCTTATGATATTAAATTCTCGATATCGGAAATATTTGTTTCGTTTCATTGTATTTTATTTGATTTTAACATATAAGTAAATTGTAAGCGAGTAATACTTTGATATGTAAATATAAGCCATACTTGTGAAGAGATCGGATATTTTTCCTTGTTCTGTATTTTCTTACTTATGTTATTTAAGGGTGTTTATGCCTTAAAGCATATTATGTTGAAAAATCACTTACATATTCGTTTCGTACTACATTATAAAAAATACTAGCTGGCAGGTAATTATACAGTAAGTGCCTGTATATTACGGGAAATCCTTGTAAGTTCATAAGCGAAATAAAAAAGTGCAATACATGGCACGCGTTTAAACGGCTCAAGTACTTTATAGTCGTAGTTATGGGATAATAAACCGTAACATTCCTCTATTTTCGCACGCAAAGTCTTTTAGAAGTGTTGAGTAAGTTAGGGCCATATTGCTACAACCACTCGTTTGTTAGTGTTTTGGATTATGTTAGGTTTACGATTGCAAATGAAGGGTGTAAAAGAAACTTGGGTAGTATGATAATAATCTTTGCATTGTTCTTTATTTTTCTATGTTTATCAATTAGGTAATTTATTATTGTTTTTAGTGAAACAATTTTTATTCAAAGTCAAAGTCAAAGCATTTATTTCAATTAAACCATAATTTGGTACTTTTGAAATGGTCAACAAATACAAAATAAATAACAGTCTGTCAGTCAGTCCGTCAGTGAAGCTAGGTGCTCATTCCAAAATGTAGATTCGAATGGAGAAGAACGAACAAGAAACTCCATTCATTACTCTTTTTTAAAAAAGTATGTTCTACAATGTCTGATACATATTCCAATATTGTACGCATATGTGAGAACAATGCAAAGAAACGCTCGACGCATTATACAAAATACAAAACTTACTAAAATATTGTAAAGGTGGTCTTACGTACGTAGTTCGTACTATGTTTATCATGTCTGTCAAATCATGCGGCCGCAGTGAGACCATAATTTTATTAAGATCTTAATAAACAGTATCATGTGCAAAAATGATTTTTTTAAACTGTATTCATGTTTAAGAAACGGTAACATAGTTTAAATAATCTCTTCATTTTTCACGGTACGGAATTATTAAATTCAAACTCCATTATGACATAATCATAGTCGATCGAAGCTTTCCGGATTGGGCAGGATTTTTGTACCATATTATAACAAATTGTATAGTGTAACGGTCATTCCCATTAAGTATGGTACTGTAAATGGCACTTATGGTTAATGTTGGTAGGATTAAAAATCCCGTGGCATATAATGTAAGCAGTTTAATGCCGTAATAAACGGTAAGCCCGCGAGTGCGGTAAGGCCGGACATACAAATGTGTCATGAGTAATTATTGTTATGTTATTCCTGAAGTGCGACTTTTGTTTTTATTGTTAGTATGTTAAGGAGGTTTATCCTATGGGTGGTAATTTTACTTGTTGGCTTTGTTTTTCCTACTGGGTCTGTAAGGCTAAAATCTATCAAATATTAATAACTATTTAAGCATCTATATTTTATACTATTCGCAGATTGTTAGAATCTCTGTGACTACACTACATTGTACTAGACACGTGCTGGCTTTATCTAAAAGACTTATCAAAATTTTAACTGAAATTCACAACGCAAATACACAAGTTCTCACATAAAAAACAATAAATGTTAATGACAAAATAACGCAATATATCTTAAGTAAGTAATTATAAAGACGAAAATACAAAGACAAACCTCAGTAAAGGTCTAAAAGGTACCATTTAATAAGACTGGGTCCTAGTCAGTAGGGGGGGGGAGACACGCTACCATCCCGAAGCCACATAAACCATCACCACGTGGGCTGGCAAATAATTTAATCTTCTATTTCGACCAAGTTCTACTTAAAGATGGATTCTCCTTGAATCTGAATATGTAGAATACGTATTTCGCCTTCTGAGATAGACGGAGTGGCTTTTAGTTTAACATGTTTTACTTATTTAGTTTAGTTAGATCTATGTGTTAGTAATACTGATTTGGTTGAGATGTTATGTATTAATTTGGATACAAATATGCTTCAGTCAGGCATCGGTTGTAAAATAGGCAATATTTATTGTTCACGATTTTGCCTAACATGCGTGTGTTAAAATATAAGCAAAGTACATAATATATCCATATGAAAATCGGACGTTTTAGACTAGTAATACAGAATTTAAATAATAACATGTATAAACCAGAACCACTACTTATTGTATCATTCAATGTAGAAAATGTTCACGTTTGCTGATGTATTTTATATCAAAAATAAAATTGCCGAAATAAAAACCCGCAACAATGCCTATCACAGCCATAATTTCTATAATTTAACACTCGAGCGAGGGCACGGTGGAACAGATCGCGTGTTTTCGATTTATTAGAGCCCACCCAAATATGTACTAAAAAAATAGTTCGCGCCAACGTACTAATTCCATACGGAAAGCAATAGGAATAAATTACTATGGCTAATGTTTTTATAGTACGTAATCGAGAGCATTTTCAACGGCCTCTGATTGTTGTGAAGAAAATAAAGTCGCCGATAAGGCCCGGATAGTTGCGACTACTCCGTTAGGAAATACGAATAGCCTCGGCATAAGTGTCGTTTAGGGCGGGCTACACTTGATGCCGTGTGGAAAATAGCCATTTAAATACTGAAGGCCTCGCGGAAATGGAATACATTATCCGAAATATTATGGAACACATATTTTTTGAAATATATTTAGATACGGTCATTATATCCATAGTAGAGTTAAGGTCTATAATTCTAATACAATGTTGTTTCCTTGTTACAGATTGGTTCGCTGAAGAATTACTACTTGCTGTCACACCATGAAGTCCGCAAGCGATCCACGGAGCCGAGTCACGAACATCATAAAAAATTAAATGACGAACCACAAGTAAGTGCCTAGATTACTCCCACATTTTTGCAGTATCCGTCAACAGGAATTGTATGTAATTAGACATATTAATACTTCAATAATCCTTAATGGCGACATGTACATTATGCACACATACACATAGTACGGTTTTAAATCTATTCGAAATAGAACATTTTCACTAATGAAAATGTTCATCACTTTGCTACGCGGACCAATCAGTGGTTTTCACTAAATATGGAACACTGAATTGAATAGTCATCTAAAATGCACATTACTGAATGCATCGACCTCATAATTCTTCCCGCCGAATAGAATATTCTCGAACGAAAATCTTCCTACTCTAAAATGCTTCAATTAAAGCCCCGTTCACGCCGAGTGTTAAGTATTCATTTCCTTTTACGTGTTAATCCGGATTTTTCTTTATTGAGCAATCTCGGTGACAGACTCGCGACATTGTTCCCCGAATTTGTGGAATTATACGGAATGAGTTACTTATTTAATTCGTTTGTCACGTACGAGGGTAATGTGGTTGGGGAGAAATGTGGAAAATTTGAATCTGTACAGCTCCTTGCGTAACACGTTAATGTTGCCACACATAAAAACAGAGGAAATGAAATAAAAACATTTTTAATGAAAGACGTAACGTGTTTTTTTATGTTATACGACTGAAAGTTGCTCGGTTTGACAGTTGCTAGTTGTGCTCCGCAATTTTACTTGTGGATTACGTTTTTAATACAGCAGCCATTTAAAGAGATTGTTACAAATCTGCACCTTCAGATAAATTCTTCGTCGATGTGTGCATTTAGTTAAAGGAATTTTCAAACATAAATGTTGTTTCGTGTATAGCTATTATTTTAGAAGAACAACCGAGCGTATCGTGGAAAGTCGTACATTGTCAGAGGTCCACATCCGAACCCTTCAGCTAATCCGGGCCCTCAGTTAATCTTTGTGCCATTTGACACGCGCCTTGTGCATTCCCTTCACTTTATCTTGTCCCAATAACCCGATGTTCACGGATCACCAAACATTCCTTTTATTTTATGGATATATTTTAAACTGCTTTGATGGTCGGATTGCCGCTTGCACGAAGGCTTCGATACCCGGAACATTAAAAAAAGGATTACCAACCACATCTCTGTGAAATTGTAAACAAAATATCAAAGTACATAGCGTAGGTCGTAATGTTTTTATGATTTGCTTTGTGGAAGACAACTGTTTTTCTCCATTTTTTATACAGAACAGAACGAGGGTTTTAGGCTTTGTTGTATCTCTATGTCATGTTTTACCAACCCTCTTTTATTCACCCGTGCCCGTTTTGAAGTAAATCGTGACGATTTGTTTTATTATGAACATAAAATTACTCATTACGCGGAAGAACGTTCGCCTATTTATCTACAATCTCTTTATTCACGCTTGATACCTTTTAATATTAATCAAAACATCCTTTGTGTAAAAGATGGACCAAATTACGTTTCGTATTTTCTTTTAGTCTCATTTTACTAATTAATTCCGAAAGTAGAATAAAATGTACTTATTCCCCATGTTTTGGGCTTATGATCGTTCTGTTACGATCTTTAGAAGGAAGTTCAGTTTTTGCTTGAGCTACTTCATTACAATTATTGGAATTTAAAGTTGTAAACAGCTTTCCACGCCGTTGGTGCCGTTATAAAATATTTATCATTCTTTCTATACCTATTTCCAACGAGATCCCAAGGGCCTATATTTATTACACCTCCTTACGTATTATGCTATGAGGTGGGTCCAGATACATCTTCAATAAACGTCAGTTTAACACTGATATTTCCATCACTATCTACATCATCACATCATATTTACTCTACGGAAGGTCGCTAAAGCAACTGTGTCGACCCACAAAATCCTAAGTGTGATAAACTTGTAGAGATAACACATCAAAAACTTATTACTTAGTCCCATTCGGATTATAGGCTTTTTTCTTTGATGTAGTCCCGTAGTGCGTGACAAAGCAAAGGCGGCGAAATATCAGCCATCTACATTAGTCTTGGGCGACACGATTCAACGAATTTCTGTGTTTTATCTTTAAGAGACATGGGGACAGATATCATTGCGGGATCCTTAAAATGTTGCTCTCGACGTCATCCAAGCAATGTGACATTTATTACTACTATACCTCTGTAAGTACGTCGCTGTCAGTGCACCGAGAATATTCAAGCTGTATTCAAGAATGTCTTCAACGAAATATCCTTGAGCATGTGGCGCCTTTCCGCTTCGAGCTCGCTCTGCAACTGAGCATTTTTCAGTTGTATGAAATTAGTCTGTGTTCTAAAGAAAATACTATAGTGGTTAAAAAAGTGCCCGCTTTTAAAGTAGCTCTAACATTGTGTATCTTATTTTGATTAAATTTTAGAGTCGTTACTAGAAAGGTACTGTTTTTCACACATATTAAAATAACCTTATCTTCCTCTAACTAAATTACAGTCCAAAAAACAATTGGCGAAGCTATTATAGCGCTCCTTGTATAAAACATGAATTCAGTCATGAATAACGTCATATTAGGTAATTCGAAAGATACACATCGTTCGTGTTCTTTGCGGGGTGGCAAAAATGACTTTTATAAATATGACCAAGATGTGTGCACTGAACCTTACATTGATAGGAAAAGATGACCTTCCGACCGGAAAGTTACTTTTCCTCATAACACTACCCAATAAAGCGAAACAAAAAGAAGTCTATTTTCTTTTTATAAAGATGGTATTAGACGGGGATACGATATTATTAGAGTTGAAATAAGGCGGCGAACTCTGTTAGTCCCGGCCACGTATTAGGAACAGAATCAATACATTTCAGCCTTTTTATAGGCACTCCTTGCCCTGCACCGGCTTTTGTTAAATATAGGATGGACTATCCGTGAAATAATTCAAAACAAAGGCTGTTGAACTTTTCAAGAGTGAAGACCTCCACTGGGGCGATAGACACGTACTTTCTTCGCCCACACATACGTAAGTCTACATATGTGAAATTTTTACATATCGTACGCTGCGACTTTACACCGTAACTGGGGTTATCCTTAAGGGTACGAAGTAGGAATACTAATGCAATCCCTTGTTGGTAGCGCGGGGCGCAGAACGGCTCCTGCAAAAGTAAAGACATTGTAGCAATTTTTATTCCAAGTTTTTAAGGGGAGGTTACGATTTTCTTTCATACGTTTTTGTATTATTCGGCTCTACGACTTTTTCTTATTGATTATACACAGTCTTACATTTTGATCCTTATGCCCTTGCTTTTAAAGTACATATTACGTTTCTAGATAATTGCGTTCCTTCCAATAGCTGTTAGTTATTCACAGATTTGGGATCTTTTATGTTTTTCTTTGAATTGACTTTTTCGTTTCTGAAACTGTCAATAACCGTACAAAGTTCAAATTAGTATATTTTACTGTCGTCTGGTCCTTCTTTGCTGGACATGAAATATATTGGCTTGTGAAAAATAAATGTATTATTATCTTTTATTCAAATTCAAGGGCAAATCTTTGTCTTAACAAATCGCTTTATTCCAATGTACTGTAACGTTTACGTTTTGTATACTATTAAACTATTCTTTGCATTACACTATCGAAGCAGATCCAGCCGTCTGCAATCTTAATAAGCAGTCATATTGCTACTATTCGTATGCATGTATCGCGAGCACTTACCATTTTTAAACTAAAGCTCTGACGCTTTCAAAGCAAATGCGAGGTGTAAAGAGTGCTGTGCGCTATTTGATGAGAATATAAAGTATTAACATAAACGTTACACAAACACACGTGGGACATCATTTCCAGTATCATATTTAGCTTCCGTTGAACGAGTTGCAATAATAACGAGATTTCTCTTCGGGAATGGGCCTTTTAACCTTTTTTCTGGGGGGAAATGACATCATTCCGTCGGATGGCTTATATTGTTATAAGCTTCTGTATGTTTTGCCCGTGAATCTGTTGAAATTGTACCCACATGTCATTTCCATTTTAGGTAATACGCGTGCAGAACGAATTTCGCCCTAAACGATGTTATGTTCATTTGCTTTTTTATGTTTTATTTATTTTGAGCTAATCAGCAAAAATGTGAGCTTGTTATGTTCCGTGGGAGACAGGAATGGCTTTGTTTTGTTCTTTATACGCGTAGACAAAGATACTTATTTTAATAAAAGTAAAATATACAATCTTATCGTACCTGTCAACATTTCTCAACTCAGCATTGAATACGAATTGATTTTGGAACGTTACATTTCGATTTTATTGTTATTGTATGTCCGTTTCATTGTCGATGCCCATCAAATTTTGTTAAAATCGTTTGATATCGAAAAACAATTTTCCACCCTAAACGCCGCTTTCCTTGCTCGTAAAGCAATGTTTTTGTTTCACCTTATTTATTTGTATTTTATATCCGTATATGTATTTTGTATCCACGAATCAATAGACCCAAAAAGTCTGGACAAAGCAACAAAGCATTTACTTCAATATTAACTCGGCATGTGCCGAATACGTGACCAGCTGTGCCATTTACATGGGGCAAATATTAGCCCGGGCTATTTGTATCACTGGTCAGATTTATTGTGAACTAAAGTTTCCTTCGGCAACGTACCATGACGGTTTTGTGTCTTTGTGGCCGTAACAAGCGGAGTTTGGGTCGACTTGGGCGGAGTGGACTGTGGACTAATAAAATTCCGGGGCGTGCCGGCCCCTCCGACCGGCCTTTCTCATGTTGATGAGACCAACACCAACATAGATTACCTACACCACCTCCTATATCAAATGCTTTAAAAATTCTTAACTGAATGACATTAACTTTTTTGTTTCCATGTTAATTATCGTGTTACATGCTTGTTTGGACCGGACGATATCTTTTCCAAGGCATTTTCTCTTCTCAGACGTTTATTTATGAGGGTAGCCGCGTTTAGATGTAGATGACAGAGATTTGAATAAGATTTGTCGCCGTGACGCGGGTGTAAACCGCACCACATTTATTGCAGGGACGTATTTTGTTTAGAAAACTGTTCTCCCTACGAATCCTGTTTAAAACATCACGAATAATTGAGATAAAACCATTTTCCGTTTATCGGAATAATAAAATATTCGATGTTAATATTTCAAGTTAATAATGAGTTAAACAATAACCGTTCCCGAATTACGAGTCCTCTGGGCATACACGCCGCACCGGTGTTTCGCTTACATTATAGAACAAAAAGCCTTTTTATAAAGCCTGTCTACATCATAATGAACTACAAGAAAGAATTTTAATTATACTCAAAACAAATACGTTCACCGGAGCGCAAATTGGGTCGCGCAACAAAAGACAAGGGTCAACCGCGCAGATAAAGTGCGTTTCTTTTACGCGTAAATCTGTTTAAACCCATCCGCGCCGTAGACTTGCGGCGCCCGTAACAGACCCCTTTGGTCTATTAGTTTAGGACCCTATTACGTTACGGTGTGTTACTACAAAGGAGCTTTATTAAACCTCATTCGGTATGTTCGGCTCTCGTGTCGCCTTTTTGCCCAGTCCCAAGTCGAAGGATAACTATGTTTGGTTTGCGCGACATCTGCTGTTTGTTCAGCTGAATGTACGCGCAAAAAAACAATATGCGAGGCACGAATGTTTGGATGAAGCAAAAACTGATTTTTATCAACGTCAGCCGAATAAAAATATTGTTTACCTCACGACTGGAACTTTCCATGCCTATGTAGACCCATCCGTATTACTGTAACGTGTTGATATGAAGATAAAAACTTTACTCAATGTGAAAAGAAGAAAAATACAAAGTTTTCTTATTAGATTTAGAGCTTGTCCCACACTAACTCTGCGTCTATGGAGGGCACTGGGCAGGGGCAAGATTATAAACAAGAGTGCCTGTTTTCTTTGTCGGAAATACTTTGTCATCCAAATAGCGCATTTAATTTTTACACACTCGTAAAACTGTACTGTTAAGACCACAAAGCGTTATCTCGTTGTTCCAGTTCCATAATCGTGCATTATAAAAAGAGTAGAGCGGGGATTTTTTATTAAATTACTCGAGCTTGCGGTGCTGTGACAAACAGTGGACGTTTGCTCCTGAGTCGTTCATATGCTGCGGCGACCACGCCAATAAAATACGTGTGACATTCCGCCCCACGCTTCCCCCGGCACCGGCCACAAACCACGTAACGCTTTTTGAACCATTTCAATTGTGTGCAAGCGTTTTACAGTCGTATTTTACTTGGACTAATAAACAAGGATTTAAATAAGGATGTAAATGTTAAAATTATTGTATAAATATTTACTTAAGTATTTATCCTATGTTGTTTTCAACAAAAATGTGTTGTATGGTTTTAAGGAAGACGGTTCTCAGTTTTATTTTCTGCTAAAATAATGCGGAATTTTAGAAACATTTTTAATAAATTACTCGTCCATAACAAAATTTTGGAGCTGCATTTTAAGAAACAACAAAATTAAACAAAACGTACTTGGAATTTGAATTTTTGCCTTGTGTAAGTAATTCCATTTACCCTCAACTATTACGTGGCTTATGGCCGCTCCTCCAACGTTTGCTCCCACCACTGTTGCTAATGAAATTAGAGTACTGCAGCTAAGACAACACAATTTACAACAGCGGGGAATATTTTTAAAAAGGTGCATTTTATTTAACTTTTTTGCTGTTAAGTTGCATGTCAGACGAATTGTGTCATTTCGTCTCGACCTCGGAACTTGTGAAAAAGCAATGAAACCCGTCCCCGGAGCCCGGCGCCCTGGGCTTTCTCATGCTAATACACGGCGCTGGTGCAAGCTGCCCCACCCTCTCCTGTCTGTTGCGTTCCAACAACTGTGAAATTGCACCTTCTAAATGTTAGATTTGGATAGTCTCTATCTTGTTTGACATTAGTGTGTTTGCCGTAGGATTTTTCATTAAATCCAATAGCCTTTTGAGAATCCTTTTCTTATTACAGTTTGTCTAAAATAATTATTTTGTCTGTAATTTAGAATAATTAAGGGGTATTTCTCTTCTTCATGATGCTAATAATATCTTTCACTAAAGTTTTGTTGATTAGGTATAGCGAAAGATATTTGATATCACAAGATCCTATCATTTCTATCTAATGATTAAATCTAATAATAGTTCACATTTACTTACCCAGTATTATTGTACCTTTTCGTCTTATTTGTGTCTAGCCAAAACAAATAACTTAGGGATGATGTTTTCCTAAGAATACAGTGAGACTTATTATCCTAATTAATTTCTGTTCTGAAAAAATAATATTGATGCGAGTGAGTTTTATTCTTTTACATTCAGGTTATAAGAAAGTTATTAACAGATGTCATTGTTTGGAATTTTTGTCGACAAGATAAATTCATGTAAGTATGTACCTACTACTCGTTTTGAGATTAACACCCGAATACTAAAAGGTTACTCAATTTTAAGTTGTAAATAAATATAAATTAAATAAAAATATAATATGCCATCTCTGCTATTTTACGAAGAGTTTGTAATGACAGAACTTACTTAAGCGCGAGCTAAAATGAACAGAGTTTCGGTATTCGGGCATTAGTCATGTTTTGCAATATTTTATTTATATTACTGTTCTAGAACTTTAAGGATTTTAATTGAAAACACATGTATCTGCATTAGGTATTAATTGTATACAAATGAACATCAAATAGCGTCCTTTACTCAAAGTGCAATCTGACTAGGAAAAAAGGGTTAACAGATTCGTTGGCAAGCACTTAACGTTTTTCATAATTAATTCGTAATAAAAGTCTTGAAGTTAGATCAGAATGTTTGTTTGTAGAAATCTTTTTGCTTGGCCGGCGTCCAGGCTTAAAGCGGTGTAATTACGTCTTATGGCTCGCTAAATGTTTTGTGTCTAATCCAACACGTTCTAAGAACCACGAAGGAGACTTTTAGTTTCTTTTGTTCTCGTCAGTTAGTAAAGAAATTTATAAACACGTTAAATAATGTTTTTATAAACTTTTGTACTACGTTTTCAACTCGTGCTTCTTTGAAAAATGTTAAGCAAACTTGCGTTTTGATTCTACCCTTCTAAGACTTTTCTGCTATAAACAAAGAAAAATTCTCGTCATGTTTTATTAATTTCTTTCTCCATGCGTTTTCGTTTTTGAGTTGTATTCAGTAAGGTGCATAATTTAGTGGCTTAATTTTTTTCTAGTGAAAATTATTTTTAATGCATAAAAATTTAATGTGCACACATTCGTTTTACGACTACATTAACCTTTTAAATTAAAATAATGTCCCATAGACGTAATTTAATAAAATGTTTTATTTCATTATCGTTATCGTTTAATGAAAAAATGCCATTTAGACTTTGGAAACAATCTTGTTTATGGTTTTGTATTATTTGTTTTAAATCTCGCTTGAGGAATTTTTTTTTATTTAACTTTTTTTTTGTCCACAGGTCAGATGGTTCGAACAGCAAAGGGAAAAGCGGCGTATAAAGAGGGACTATTCCCCGTACGATCGCGCAGCGTTCTCGCAACTGTCACGCAGGTTGCAACCCCATCGCCCGCACTATCGGGCACTCACCTCTTCACCTTTCTTTCCTGACCCCCTCTTCAAGGAACAATGGTACTTGGTAGGTATCTGGAAAAATTGGTTCTTTTAATAATGTTTTTTAATTTTTAATCTTAATTTCACTGAGTCATGGATGGTATTTCAATGATCTCGTGTATGATCATAATTAACAGCGATTCGTGAATTACGCAATAGTAGTTTTATATTGTTTTCCATAATACCTAATTTATTTATTTAAATTTTTCTTTTTTACTGTTTTACTAGCAATTCAATTTAAGTGAGTATCATCGTATTACATAACGAGTATCTTTTTTATTTGTTTATGTTCTTTTAAATATGAGTTTGTTTGTCCTAGTAGATAAGGAAAACAAAACGACTGTAAATAATACGGTAAGATCTCATTTCAATGATATACTATGACCGTTTTTATTCTAATAGATTTTTTTCTATTGTCATACGAATATCTATTACAGATAAAGATACTATTTACTTCGCTAAAAGGATAATTGCGGTTACCTAGACCTAGAAAACCAAAAAAACTGTCCCTGGTCCTATCAAAAAACTCGTGTTCCTTTCTTCTGAAACAGTCACATTTAGCTAAATTTGTGTAACTCAGTGCCGACCACGATATGGTTGATAAAACATCATGAATCATAAGATTTTTTTAGCTATATTTTATCATTTTTTTAATGCCCTTGACTATCTACTATCACTCCAAATGTTTTTTCTGTTTCGGTTAAAATTATGCATAACAATGTATACTTCTAAAAGCATTTTCTTTTTTAAAAATCACGATATGAACAAGTTTAAAGATTTTAATTGATATTATCTTATATAGAATGGCGGTGCCAAGGATGGTCTGGACATGAACGTGGCTCCCGCTTGGCAGAAGGGCTACACAGGAAAGGGAGTCGTCGTCTCCATCCTGGATGACGGCATACAGACCAACCATCCCGATTTGGCACAGAATTATGTAAGTATCTCATTATTTCACATAAAAAAGGGTTACGTAATCGTTAAGTTATAACATGTGTTTTAATGCCTGCACAATATAATGACTGCACGGTTGGTGCGGTGGCTGGGCAACCGGCTGCCGTGCAACGTGTCGCGGGTTCGATTCCCGCACGGAACAACACTTTGTGTGATCCACAAATTGTTGTTCCGGGTGTGGGTGTAATTGTGTATGTGAACTTGTATGTTTGTAAACGCACCCACGATACAGGAGAAAATCCTAATGTGGGGCAAAGTTTTAAAAAAATAAATAAGTAATAAATACCCAAGGTGGTTTCAGGAATATACTGTCTTTGGGTAAAACAACTGCCTCGTTGGCAGAGTGTTCGCAAGTGCGACTGCCGGGTAAGGGGTCTCGGGTTCGATTCCCGGGTCGGGCAAAGTATTACTGGGTGTTAAACAATTCTCAGTAGTAGCACGGAGTCTGGAATTGTGCCCGCGGTATATGGCAATAGGCTCACCCCCTATTACATGGGATTCATAACATAAATAGTGAAAAGTGGGTGTTATATTGAACAGTGGCGTAATGTGCACCTTTGCCTACCCCTTCGGGGATAAAAGGCGTGATATTATGTTATGTTATTTATGGGTAAAACAGTAAATTTATTGGTTACTTCAAAATTCTTTGTAGAACTAGAGTTTTAGAACCAATATAGGTACGAATTACTAAATAAATACGGAGGTGTATTTCGAAAATACTCAATTGGTTTTCTGCACAAGTATTTCGATTGTATAACGCAGACTCTGCAGTCCTGTTTTTATTTTAGATAAAATATATTTCCTGAAATTTGTGAATAGCGGCTGAAGAGAGCTTTTAACGATACCTTTCAATAAATGGATTTAGCAAGGCAACGCTGCCCCTAAAAGGCTACGCATAGAAATTTTGCACTGGAAACAGAGAAAAATGGCCACTTTTTAATCTAGCCACTAGCACTGGTTTCCGATTATCCTTTTAGTCAGTGTAGGCCAATAAACTACCCACCAGATATTAGTTTTTGGTGAATTCTTCGTACCACAATCACGAAAAATTTATGTTGTTGACATTTCACTTATTAAAACATCGCAAATTGAACGTTTGGGCATGAATTCTGGCTGTGTCAATTCAACATCAAAACCTTTATTAGAAGCTTTGATATTTGTTAGACCCAACCGACCGCATGTCATTTAAATGACCAATTAAACGCACATGCGAATACAATTTTGAATATACATAGTTTTCAACCACACGAAAATATCGATATTATGTCCCAGAGTTCAATAGCAACACTATTTCAGAACAGCTCTATCTCTAAACATATCGATAAGTTACACACCAGTAACTAGTGCCGTAGAGAGCCGTTAATATACACTGATAATACTATCGGTTCAACTAACTGTTGTAAAGGTTTAGCACTAAAGATAAGCTGCCCGCATATTAAGTTACTAACTTGGGCATTCGAAGTGAGTTACGTGGTGTTCATGTTCGTAGAAAAATATGGAATGCTGCTCCTAAGAAAAGTGCAAGCAAGTCTTCTTTACAAATAGTTTGGTGTTTAAATAAATCTAGGCTTAGATGTGGTCGTAATGAACTAAAATAGTAAAGCTTTTTTAGTACATTCTTGATTTTATGTGCATCTATAAAACTGAATTGGTTTAAGCCACTTCAATGTTGCAACAAAGCTACTACGGCATTATTATTATGAGAACATTATATTCAACGTTCACGTTCGGAAAAGAGCAAGCAATTTCCATAACGCCCAGTTGTTTACGGGAAGGAAAATAAATACTTTGAATTATCTAAGGTATTAATTCCATTAGTGATAATTACAACCCTGCGGTAGGGAACGTCGAAATGCTATAAAGTGAATTATCAGAACGAATTTGTTTTATTGTTTATTATTGTTATTTCTATTGGTTTCTTCGGTCTTATTACTTTTTTTTTTATTAATTGATTTTTATCTTGTTTGTGTAACACTATGTGTCTCAGTGTTGTTATTTCTTTTCCTGCCACAGGCCCACAGGAAGAAATTCCAGTTGGAATATGTGGGGCCTATGTACTCTGTTTTTTTATTATGTATTGTCCTCTGTGTTGAATGTGTGTACATAAATAAATAAATAAACGAACCGAATTATAAATTGGCATTGGCATCAAAATGAATGAGTTCCACGAAATTGTCTTCAATTTTGTTTGCATATTCATCCGGAAAACACATTTTGTGATAATAATATTTGGCTTTTCGTTTGTTCATTTTGTGTTTTGAATGTTTTTTCATAGGATCCCAACGCGTCTACAGACATCAATGGCAACGATGATGATCCAATGCCTCAAGACAACGGTGACAACAAACACGGCACGCGATGTGCTGGCGAGGTTGCTGCAGTTGCCTACAATCAGTACTGCGGGGTAGGCATTGCCTACAACGCGAGTATTGGTGGCGTAAGGATGTTGGACGGTGTCGTCAACGATGCCGTCGAAGCCAGGGCTTTAGGCCTCAACCCAGACCACATCGATATTTACAGCGCTTCCTGGGGACCTGAAGACGATGGAAAGACCGTTGACGGACCAGGACCACTTGCTAGAAGGTAAAGATATTTTTTTGTGCAATTTGTTAAAAAAATTATGAATATGTAAAATCACAACTAATTATTTTATTTTGTTTCTCAGAGCATTCATCTATGGAGTCACTAGTGGTCGTCGCGGTAAAGGGTCCATATTCGTATGGGCATCAGGAAACGGTGGAAGACATACAGACTCTTGTAATTGTGACGGCTATACGAACAGTATATTTACGTTATCTATTTCTAGTGCTACTCAAGGTGGTTATAAACCTTGGTATCTAGAAGAGTGCTCTTCTACCTTAGCTACTACGTACAGTTCAGGTACCCCTGGACACGATAAGAGTGTCGCCACCGTTGACATGGACGGCAGGTTACGGTCCGATCACATTTGTACAGTAGAACATACAGGTACCTCGGCCTCCGCTCCTCTCGCAGCTGGTATTTGCGCTTTAGCCCTAGAAGCAAACCCTGAACTCACATGGAGAGATATGCAATATTTAGTTGTAATGACATCTCGACCTCAACCCCTTGAAAAAGAAGGAGGTTGGATTATAAACGGAGTCAAGAGGAAAGTAAGTCACAAATTCGGGTACGGTCTGATGGATGCTTCTGAAATGGTCAGTTTGGCAGAACAATGGGTGTCCGTACCTCCCCAACATATTTGTAAGTCACAAGAAATTAACGAAGATAAGCAGATAGAATCAACATTTGGTTACACCCTATCTACGCATATGGACGTTAATGGGTGCAGTTCTACAGTTAATGAAGTGCGTTATCTTGAACATGTTCAATGTAAAATATCGTTAAGGTTCTTCCCTAGGGGTAATCTACGTATACTTTTAACATCTCCAATGGGTACTGTGTCAACATTGCTGTTCGAAAGGCCACGCGATGTTGTTAGTTCGAACTTTGATGACTGGCCCTTCTTAAGTGTTCACTTCTGGGGTGAACATGCCGAAGGTAGATGGACGCTACAAGTAGTAAATGCTGGCAACAGGCATGTAAACCAAGCTGGCATACTTAAAAAGTGGCAACTTATTTTCTATGGAACAGCAGTTGATCCAGTACGATTAAGAACAAAAAGGCCATCGCCAGTAGCGCCGCCTTTTGCTTTCCCCACCGCCGCAGACGGCTATGAAACTATCGGGGATTCTTTTTACAACACTGACGCGTTTGCCAACTATCAAAACTTTCCAAATCTATTCGCCGCCGGGTCAGACCCGGAAAAGGCGGTAGCTCGCCTCGATGGACATAACGTCCCTTCTCCGCATGGGGAGAATGTCCTCGCTGATAGTAATGACAAGCGCGTCATGCATGACTGTGATCCCGAATGCGATTCTCAAGGATGCTATGGAAAAGGACCTACTCAATGTATCGCGTGCAAGCACTATCGTCTGGACGACTCTTGTGTTTCTCGTTGCCCTCCAAGAAGTTACGCTAATCAGGGTGGAGTGTGCTGGCCGTGTCACGAGTCTTGCGAGACTTGCGTAGGACCGGGGCAGGACTCGTGCTTAACTTGTGCCCCAGCACACTTACTAGTCGCAGACCTTGCTGTCTGCTTGCAACAATGTCCAGACGGTTACTGGGAAGATAGTGAAGCTTCCGTTTGCCGGCCATGTGCGGCTCACTGTGCCACCTGTTCCGAGCGAGCTGATGGTTGCACGTCTTGTGAACACCATCTCGTGCTTCATGATGGAACATGTATGGCATCGTGTCCGCCTTCTCACTATGAGACTGAAGATGATATGTGCGCAAAATGTCACGAATCCTGTGACACTTGCCAAGGCCCCGGGGAAACGCAGTGCGTGACCTGTCATCCGTCGACTTATGCATTAGACGGGCGATGTGTTACGTCATGTCCTCCAGCGTATTACGCCGACAAAAAGAGGAAAGAGTGTATGAGGTTCGTAGTTATTTATTTGAATGTTGTTTTAATATAACTCGATGTGACCTCGTTTGTGATTTTTTATTTTGTTTTTAGATGTCCCGTTGGTTGCTTAACGTGCACGAGTGCGTTTTGCCTCTCGTGTGAATCGAACTGGGAACTTAATAAAAAAGGAAAATGTATGCCTGTGGGCAGCGATAAGTGCAGTGCAGGTGAATTTGCAGTAGATCAGAAATGTAAGAGATGTAACCCGGCTTGCGATTCGTGCTATGGTGAAAACGAAGGGCACTGCCTGACGTGTCCGAATCCCAACTTACTACAGGATTACAAGTGAGTAGATTTGTCAACATAAAATTGCTTAGGCAGGATTATATTGCTAATTAACACTTTTTGGTTGTTCCAACTATTTGAAAATATATTATGGAACGTGTTTTCTGTCCAGTGTAAAAGCCTTTTCCTCTAGGTAATGTTATTCCATTTAATTTTCACAAGGAAGCCTTAACGAACCACGTTTTGCATCCACGTGGTCATGACCGAGTTGTGTGTTTTATTTTTAACTAATGAGTAAGGGGTCAACATTTATAATCATGTTGTTTTGCTTTATTTATATCTCTTTTTGGTTTTTGTTTGTAGGTTTGCGTAAACTTAGCATTTTGTGTCATTACATATCTTAATTTAAAATTAATTTCTGTTTAGATTTACCAGTCACTCAGGAGACTAATGTATTACTAACGCTATAATTCAAGAGTCTCTAATTAGTTCATTCAATGGTTGTGTAGGAGTTGTAAAGATACTATGTATATGTTATTAAATTATACTACACACTATTATTTTTGTCATACACACATTGCAACATGCATTATGTTATAACATTATATTTAATTTGTTTTGGCAAATATGTCCCAGAAATTAATTCCTGCTTTTTATACACAGATGTGTACCAGAATGCAGTAAAGGTTACTACGCCGAGGCTGGTCGTTGTGCACGGTGCATGCACGGGTGCTCGGACTGTGTGTCGCGACTGAACTGTACCTCGTGCGTCAGCGCTCTGCGATTACAGTCCGGAGCCTGCAGGACTTCATGTGCTGATGGGTAAGTCATCATTACTTATATAATTTTAATGAGGACTATAATATATTTTCTCACCAGGTGGCGCAAATGTAGAAAATTTTTTGTCCAATCACAGCAGCTGTCAAATATTAAACGCCCAATGGCGTGACATATAGCTAATTACTTATTGGACGGTGGTCAATAAAACGGTAGGCTCCATTGTGCTAATACGATCCTCATCATCATCAGATTTAAAATTGATACCCTTCTCTGCCTATTTTTTTTGATGATAAAAACGTGTGACCTTTAACCAGACAGTCAAGTTTTGATAGAATGGGTTAATGTGCAACACTAATACGCTCTGGGTTAAAAAATCAAAGTTGACATTAAACATAGAAAAGAAGATAGCTTGATATATAGTAAACGTAAAATATTTCCGACACATAAAATTAAACATTAAGTTACTAAAATCGTGACAGCCCTACCTACTGTGGTAATTTATTTAAGTGACGACGCCTGATGGTAAAAATGTTTGTGCAAACTGATGTTTTTAATCTTCAAAACCTCCAATGAGAATTCTCGGAACTGATTTCATAGTCTGTTATTAAAAGGATTATTCGTAATTACTGGAACTCATTTCTCACTTTATTTACTTAATATAATAAATGCGAGAGTGATTTTATTTGTTTATGAAAATTGAACTCAAAGGGGAAGGAAATAAGGGGTGTTTAATTGATTGACAACGACATTGAGGGGAGGATGGATGTTTATATTCTCGGTTTCGTGGTAAATGTTATTTTACTTTGTATATTTCAAAGAAGTTTGTAATCATTAAATTCGTAAATAGAATATGTCGGAAGGATCATTAATACATGGGATTTCAATTGACTACAAAACGAATAAACAACAAATGAATATTCGACAGTTCATTGTGACGTCACGTGTCGAAAGTCGAAGAGCAGAAGCGATTGGTTGATATTCAACAATGCATGTCTTGTCTTGGATTCTGAATGAATATCCACCCAAGTGCCTTACTACTTACTTAGAAAACTGTCAGTCGATTTGTTCAGCGATTACAATTATTATAATCCGTGTTATGAATTTGTTATTGAGTTTAAAATTATTACTGTGAAAGTGATCTTTCAAGTATTTACTTAACTTAATTGCATTATAAAAATTGCTGTGAATTTATTGTGGCGTTTCTTTTCAAAGTACCTAGTCAGTTAGGAAATGCCCGACCTCATCAAGCTTTAACTAAAATGTGAACGAGTAAAGCGCAATGTACAAAAATAAACAATCATTACGAAGATTTTCTTGTATTGCTCCAACTTAAACACACCTCTACCGATTTGTGTAACGGAAAGGGCTCTCGCCCACAACATCCTCCGACATATACCTGTGTACAATACGTACAAAATGTGCATTATTTATTTCGTTTTTTAATTGGTTTCATTGATAACTTGTCTATCTTTCTGTTCTACAGTCTACACATACCCTATACTCTTAAAAAGAAATGTCAATGATAATCTCAAGCCGATTACTTGACGATTCAAATTTCTTGTCGTTACCTACACATTTTAGACTCTATCTTAGACCTAAGTTTCAATGGAAATAAAATCTTAATCCATTCAAATAAAATCGAATCTTCTCTTGTGTGAAGTTATTAAGAAATATTATCATCGATAGGTATTACGCGGACCGCGGCACGTGTTCCAAGTGCTATCTGTCGTGTCGGACGTGCATCGGGCCGAGACGAGACCAGTGCGCTTCGTGTCCTGAGGGATGGAGGCTGGCCGCTGGAGAGTGCCATCCGGAGTGCCCACAAGGTGAGTTAGCTTTGTCTAAAGAACTAGAACTGACTGTAGATGACAGTCATCATATATATAAAAATGAAACCCGTTTCCCGTTGTCACGCCATAACTTGAGAACGGCTAGATCGATTTGAGAGATGTTTTTTTGTTGTGTTTATTATTGTCAGGAGAAGGTTCTTGTGACAGGAAAAGGTCCTGAAAATTGGAAAAGGATTGCGCGTACGAAGTCGCGGGCAGAAGCTAGTACAACTAATAAAAATGTAGACGTGAGGTTAGGGTGTTCACGATACAGGCAGTAACGCCAGCTAACCAGCTTTTCGGTCGTTATGTATTATGTAATTTTGTAACAAGATATTCTTAGATAATTGATTAATTGATCTCACAATTCGAATGTTTATTATTACCTACAGTCGAATTGTCTGTAATGTCCGAAAAAGTCCCTAAGATTTCCTCCCTGTGTCGATGCGTTTACAAATTATATTTGGTACAGTGACTACACTGGATCTATCGTGCAGCCGACATTGCATCATTAGACGTCTCCTCCTAAAATATAAATAATTATGGTTTAGGTTAAGTTTAGTAACTGCACGGTTGGCGCGGTGGTTGGGCAACTGACTGCCGTGCCACGTGTCGCGGGTTCGATTCCCACACGGAACAACTCTTTGTGTGATCCACAGATCGTTGTTCCGGGTCTGAGTGTCATGTATATGTGAACTTGTATGTTTGTAAACGCACCCACGACACAGGAGAAAACCCTAGTGTGGGGCAAAGGTTTAAAAAAAAAAGAAAAAGAAAAGTAAGAAATCAAACTTTTGTTTTCGATTTTTCTATTGAAATATCAATGAAATCGTCTCAAGGGACCGATGGTCATTTAGTAATAAATAATGATGATATTTTATTAATACTATATCCCGTAAACCAATAACGATAGACAAGGAGATAACCGAATGTTCCCAAGTTACTTATTACAACATTCGTACTAATGAATTGTGTGAGGGAAGTGGAAGGGAAAACAACGAAATATGTTTATCCTCATTATTGATTAGTGGGTATAGCACAATACACGAGATTAATGGAGATGTTGCGCTGAAGGGTAACAAAGAGGTCCATAATATTATTTTGTTGATGATATAAATAACTTGATATTATTCTTGATTAGTTTGATTGATTGCGTTATGTCTGGGAATGTTGTAGTTGCGCAAACATTGCATATTTTTCCATTATGATTCTTAAAATCGATTTTTAATTCCGTTTTTTAACGTCGAGGAATTCGAACAATAAGTTTTTTGTTTGTTCGATTTTACAATAGGTACTCAAGAAGTACGATTAAGTTTTCATATTATATTTTCCCATTACGATTTTTAAACATCAATTTTGTAATTCTGTGTGTATTCGTCAAGGGCTTTGAGGAATTCGTTTTTATTTGTTCGATTTTACAATATTTCTTAAGAAGGACGATTTAAATAAAATGAAGTTTGTTATCAGAATAAAGATTTCTTTTTGTTCATATAGAGGTACATGTGTGCCATACCCAGACCCGGACCAATAATCTGTGGATCACACAAAGAGTTGAATCCGTGCCGTGTAGTCAAGTTAATCGAATCCGATGACATAAAATACTTATATATAAACTTAATCACAAGACTGCACATTTGCACAGTGATTTGTACAAAGTACAAATGTTTTATAACCAACGTTTAAAAATAAAACAAACTATTACTAAACAATTTGTCACCTTTACGTTTGGTTAAACTGAAAGAGATTTATCACAGTAAGCATCTTGCGGTCTCAAGTAGCTTCTGAAGAGTCTCCACTGAATTCTGAGTCTCACGTGTGCTCAATTTTCAAGCGGGGTTTGCGCATCTGTATTTATATGTCTGAGGCCTTGAGCTTATAAAGACTTTTGGTGTTGTGTTTCTTCAAATAGGTGACAATGAGACGTTTATTTAGCTTTTATGTTATTGACAGAGAGTTACAAAATTAATTATTATGTTTTCGGCTTACTCACGTTATAATTTGACGAGTAACTCGACTAGTTTCAAGCCATGCTAGAGGCTCATATTCATGAGCAGCATTTCGCGACCCGCGACGCGGCGTCTGTCGCGCTGCTACTTTTTACGTGAGTTTTTATTGCTTGAGTAAGCCGAAAACATAATTATTTATTTAGTATGTCTCACGAAAGTTACAATACAAGTTACAAAATTATTACTTATTGTTATTATAAGTGCATACATGTGAAAATATTCCAAGTACCTATCAGACGATAGTTGGAATTTTAACACAGATTTGAAAAAAAATTGATTCTGTGCTAGTAGTTACCAACAGTGCAGTTATGTGTCGCGGGTTCAATTATTCCACGAGACAATTTGTAATTCTGGATTTAAGTGTGATTGTGTTGTTTGTAAACGCACAACACAGGAGAAAATTTAGTTAGTGCAGAATATCAAGTTCTTTGCAAAAACAAAAGTCATTAATATTTTAGCTATGTTTTATTTAGGTACTAGCCACTTCCGCGCGGTTTCACACGCTCTGTTCAGCTCCTATTGGTTGTAGCGTTATGTTTTATAGCCATCCACGATAAATGCGCTATCCAACACATAAAGAATTATTCAAATCAGACTTTTAGTTACGGAGATTAGCGCGTTCAAACAAACAAACCAAAAATCAAACTCTTCCCCGCTTCGTATAGATTCATCATCTAAAACAATTTTCTTGTCACCAGGTTTTTACCAAAGTCTAGGCGGTTGCCGCCACTGCCACCACTACTGCCGCGAGTGCGACGGCTCCGGTCCGCTCCACTGCAAGTCGTGTCCTCCCCGCTTTATGCTGGACGGTGGGCTCTGCATGGAGTGCCTCGGGTCTCAGTACTATGACGCGACTAGTGGCACGTGCCGCAGCTGTGACGCAAGTTGTCGAACGTGCTCCGGTCCCGGCCAGTTCAGCTGTTCCACGTGCTCCAGGCCGTTGAGACTTGACAGGTTAGTGAGAACTTAAATCTTGCCTATATTATGTTCTTGAATAGATTATCTGGTGATTACAAGCCATTTGATTGGGTCACTTTTCGGATTTCGTGAAATCAAATCAGTGTTATATGTTTTCATTACAATTTAGAATGTGCATTTCGTATGTTTATAGTTTTTGGATTCTGAATTCGGTATTGTTACTCCGAATCGGAATCCGAAGTTTATGATTTCGAAAGATATTTTTTTATTTATTTAGCTAGCTATCGTGAAATTATAACATGTTTCTGCGTAGTATTTAAATTATTTAAAAATTGACTGCCTCGTTGTCCTAGTGGTTGCAAGTGCGACTGCCGGGCAAGGGGTCTCGAGTTCGATTCCCGGGTAGGGCAAGTATTACTTGGTTTATAAAAAAAATTCCGAAGCAGCACGGAGTCTGTAATTCTGCTCGGTTTATTATGGCAATAGGCTCACCCTTTATTACATGAGACTCATAACATAAATAGTGAAAAGTGGGTGTTACATTGTACAGTGTCATTAAGTGCCGTAATGTGCACCTCTGCCTACCCCTTCGGGGATAAAAGGCGTGATGTAATGTCATGTTATGTAGCTGGTTATCGTGGAATTGTAACACGTTTCTGCATGTTGTTAATTTCAACAATTATTTAAAAATTATATCAAACAATTCCCCCAACCAAAAACACTTTTCAAAATTTAGCGTGGACCTGTTCAATTTGGCCACGTGTTTCACGGGTTGGCTCGACAGGTGGGTCATAAGTTTCAAGTAACTTTCGTGCGCGGGTTATGTATGAAATTGCGAGTGAAACAGCCCAGTCGTGCCGTGGAGTAGCCAGAAATATGTCGAGAGCACATGCTCAAACAGACTTCACAGTTATCGTTCATATTTTAGATAAATTGAGTTTAGATTTTGCGAACAAATATGTGTAGAGTTAGTTATTTTGGAAATTGTTTTGGAATAAGACGGCTTTTGTTATTCGTTTTATGCTGCTACCTTAGAATGAGCAAATAGCCTCAATTATTTTTTTTATGTTGAAGTTCAAAATGCTTTTTGGTCTAATTGAAATAAATGGTTTTGACTTTGATTTTGATTTTGTTTTGTAGGTCTCTTAGTTTATCTAATGATATTGTGGGTTAAGTAAACAGTGGTTCAACCATTATAGTAAATAGTGTTACGGTATCACTTGCATATAAACATAAAAGTACAGATTCTAACTTTCTATGAAAGATATGATTTAGTACTTCGTGTCTAATATTGACTGCACGGTTGGCGCGCAGCAGATACCCACACGGAACAACTCTTTGTGTGATCCACAGAATGTTGTTCCGGGTCTGGGTGTCATGTGTATCTGAACTTGTATGTTTGTAAACGTACCTAAGACACAAGAGAAAAACCTAGTGTTAAAAATGAAGACCAAAAAAAGAAAAAAATATTAAAAAAGAAAAGAATTTAAGATTACTTTAGAATCTCGAAAGATCTCAATAAGTACCTACAGCTGAATATATTCTGTATACTTGTCCAGAACTAACATGAATGCAGCACAGATCCCACCTCAGTAACTTACAACTAAATGTTACTAACATATTTCATTTCACTCGTAAGGAACAGTTTTGCTCCACAACACTCCTCCTTAGTCCCCACATCTCGGGGCAAAGGTACGGAGTGAAGAGTCCTCCTACTGTGAAGGACACTGACACGTTTACAAGTGTCGACAAGAAACACTTCAACGCGTACAGTTAAGAATTTTACCAAGAATTCTGTGAATAGTTCTATTGGAATCTAATTTTATCCTTCTGTTAACAGAGGTAAAGCATTATTTGAACGTTTTAACTTTGTTCAGAATCTTTAAGAAATTGAAATAGATAAAGATATAACAGTCTAGGTTTTTTTAATAGAATTTTTTATTGTAATATGTTCTGTGTGCTAGTAGATACTTCGAATTTTTCATTAATGTGTCCAATACACGTTTTTTGGGTTTATAATGATTTAACCCTTTGAGTACCGTCATTATAGACACAATTAAAAAACAATAAGTGTGCGGACACCGGTGTCTTCGCGGTGTTTGACAGTTTAAACTTAAGACATTTCATTCTCTTCTCACTGTTATTGATTGCTTGGTTCTGATTAGGCAGGTAACGCCCAAATACTGAAAGGTTACAAAGCAATTTTAATTCGCGCTTAAGTATAGTTCTGTTTACAAAGTTGTGTTGTAAAATGACAGAGATAGCACGATATTTAAGTACAATATAAAATTGAGTAGCCATATAGGCGTAACACTATTAATTTAGTTCCAAAAAATTGATATAGGTAAGGTCCACAGCACACTTAACCAATAAGATCGAAGACTTAATATAATTGTGGCATGTCCAGCTGCTATTTAATCATGTTTGTAGCAATCCTATACCAATTTATTAAAGGAATATGCTTTCCCACTTAAATGGATTAGCTAGTTAGCAAGATAGGCAGCAGTAGTGATTCCCTAGAGTGCGTTGAATTTACTTAAGCGTCGTCACTTTAGACAGGAGTAGTGCCTCTTTTAATACATACATTAGTGTGTAAATACCCTAGTTCTAGTTGGTTTAGGTAATTAAGTTACCTACTCCAGTGGTAAGTCGTTAAAAACAAAAGAGGTTTGGATTTATTCAGATGGGTTTATATTCCTTGCATTATTTCCTAGTACTTCGGACGTTTGGTGGTCCTCTCCGAGCGAGATAATTATTTTCAATTTGGTCCTTCTAGACGAATGTATTTGCCATTTTTGGGCCTTTAAGACGAATGTTTTGTCCAATTCGGTCCTCCGAGACTAATATTGTTTTTCGGTTTTGGTCTTCTGAGAAGAAATACGGCACCGGTAGCTTTGATCCTTTGCCTTTTGTTGTTTCTTACTTGGTTCTGTCAAAACTGGTTCTGCGATGCGACTGACTTTTTGATCCTTTCTTCAATTCCGTTTACCCATTTGTTACCCTGTAACAGTGACAAGTATTTTGTTACAACCCACATTATTTTGTAAACCTTGATTTTCCTTGGTCCTTGAAGTAGAACAATATGATTAATAGAATAAAATTAATTTGTTGCATTTTTATCAGGTTAAACAATCAGTGCGTGCCATGCTGTTCAGAGCGCGGTGTCACCAACTCTACGCCATCGACAGACTGTTGCCATTGTAATCCTGACAACGGTGAGTTATTTCATTGAACCATAAAAATACGTATGTACCTACAAAGTGGACGGATCACCTGACAAAGGCTTGCTTTAAGCCGACTTATCAAGTCAATGGGGAAGTCTATCTTCAGCAGTCGGAGTTATGGGTGATATGATGATGACTACCTATTATTTTAGTGAAAATGTAAAGAAGATAATAATATGTTAATTTAAGTGTGGCAGGGCCATGCTTCGGCACAAATGGGCCGGCTCGACTGGACTGATACCACGGCCTCACGAAAGACCGACGTGAAACAACGCTTGCGTTGTGTTTCGTCGTGTGAGTGAGGTTACCGGAGGCCCAATTAGCCCTCCTCCCTTTTCCCAACTCCCGAGTCGCTAACAATCCTCAAATTCCTAATCCTAAAATGTCGGTAACGCACTTGTAACGCCTCTGGTGTTCGTGTCTATGGGCGACGCCAATTGCTTATGGTGATCCTTCTGCTTGTTTACCGGTTTATCCTATATAAAAAAGTACATACCGAATTCATGGTGTTCAGCGTAAATCTCATTCACATATGTCACTTTGACATGATTCGGACTCAAGGCTCGGCTTTGAGACAGATGTTTGTCTTTTAAAGTTTCATTTCTTCGTCGTCTGCAGAATACACCTGAAATTATATCATGAAAGTTTTATATTAAAGAAGGGCCAAATTAAAAGTACCCTTAACTGACAAGCATGCATCAAAAGATTGGCGACTGTTGATTAGGCGAAAGAGGTATGTAGGAATCGCAGCAATTGGCGTTCCATAGTCTTTGCCTTCCTCCATGGGAGACAGGCGTGAAGTTATATATGCATGTAAAGTTTTAGTATATATAATAAACTGCATCGGTACCTAAATTTTAGTCGCCATAAAACATGTTTGATGTTTTTGGGTTTAAACAACTCAGAGGTTCCCATAAATTGTGAAAGTCTAAGCACTGCTTGGCGAAACGTTATTATTTTGGAAAAACGTTGTACAAATTTTTATCGTTCTCACCAGGCGAGTGCATAAACTCGTCGGTGGCAGGCAAGCGGCGTATCGCGGAATGGGGCGCGTTGCACACCGCGCCGAGCGCGCAGTCCGCACCCAACGCGGCTGTTGTGACACTCGCGGTGTGCGCGGCGGCCGTCGGCCTGTTCATTGTAGTACTGGTTGTGTTACAGGTACGTGTCATAGGAAGCCTTTATTTCTTAGTGTATTTGTATCGTTGTTTATTTTCAGGAACTGATTTTTAGTGTTATTAATCGAATTGAGTGGTTTATAAAGGATAATAATCTTTGATAGATAATAGAAAAAACAAAGGATTGATTTTTCAAGCATGTCAAACTAGTTCTTCATAAATAAAGTAAAATTATTAAACGTCTTCTAAGGTTGTTTCACCCCTCTGCACTTATTGCAAAAAGGTCATACGAATAGTCTCGCCTAAGTTTTTAAATCCTTAATCTACCACATTATACTCTCTGTAATGAAAGCCTTTAAAGAGAAAAAAGTAAACAATAAACGACCTTACGCGGTCACTCGAGTACGGTCAACGTCAGTTAAGTAATGAAACCGCGGCTTATCTGCGATTAACATTATTGAATCTTCTATTAAATAATAGAGAATAGACCAATCAGTTTCATCTATACGAATAGACGCCTACGTTCTTTTTTATTTTTAGTATAGAATCTTTCCCTATTAAATTGGGAGTTAGACAATGGTTTTAAGACCAGACGTTGTGCTGCTTAGGCTATTCTATAACTGTCAATAACTTTTGAAGTGAGCTCGATCGCATTCTCGTCTTGACGGACCGCGGTCGACTTCACTTTCATCTTTCAAATTCAAGCTTAGTTGTTTTGCGAATTTGATTCCTGCACTTCCTGCAATTATTTGTGTATTTTGAAATTCAACGACTTTTCTATGAAAATTAACATAAACTTCTTCTGTAAAACGTAAACTTTGAATTAAGCTGAGGATACACTAAGGGGAATTTCGCACGATATGTATCAGCGACATGTCAAACGATGCCGGCTAATTTCATCTGACATATATGGGGACTTATATCTACTGCGACGTTGATGTTGCAAGGCATATCGACCAAAGTCCGGCAACGTCGCACTACTTCTACCAACGTCGCTGGCGACATGTGTCGAAGGTCATTTGTCCCCTAGTGTAACCTTGGCTTAACTTTAAACAAAAGTGGAAGGCACTGTGTTCTTGTAAGCATACATCAATTTGAATTTATTACACATATGTGCTATCATCCATCTCATCTCTCATCACGTAATATGTACTAATAAACCATAACAACGATCTGTACATCTATAAACACTCATACTTTATGCGGATATCCTCATTAATGTCAGTATGTCGTTTGATGTCACATAAATACTTATTTTATATTGTTGGAATAATAAACTAGGTATATAAAGTTATTCGCCTTTATTTTCATATGCTGATGAATGAGGAAGTTTTAGGAATCGTTGTTTTATCTGACCGTACCCAAGGACCGCATATTTTCATGAAAGAAACAGAAAGAATGAGACATAAATGTGATGATGTTGGTTGTAATTGAAAATGGAAGCCATGAAGTGACGTTTGGATATAAAAATATTGTTTTTTTGAAAAAACAACAAAATGGTGTAATATTATTATGACGTACCTACATACGTCACGCTTGTCTAGAGTATGACACTCTCATAGTTTCTTACGGACTATGTTTTGGTTTAATGTGAAGAGGAACAAGACATTATTTGACAGTGATGATTAATGCAATAAAATGTGAAATAAAAATATCTAAATTACTTTCTTTCTCCACAGGCGCATAGTCCTCGCGATAAGAAGACGAGGAAGACGAGTGCGCGCGGCGTCGAGTACTCCCGGCTGCCGTACACGGACGTTGGCGTCACCGTGCTGACGTCATGCACGGACCAGGAGCGACAGGTCGAGTGCGAACACGAACCACTCCTCGAACATTCCACATCCACATAGCGCGCGCTGTGATCCTAGAAGTAAGTTTATGACGTAACGTTTTATCATCTGTACCTCCACCATGAGTTTAAAAAAGCAAATAAGTCACCGCTCGATTGCGACGACGTAATTTTTTTCTATGCCAAATTTTACAGCGCCTCCAGCGGTCACTTACGGAACTAAAATTTGGCATACAAAAAATTTACGTTGTCGCTATCGAGCGTCGACAAATACTATTGCTTTAAGCTTATTGTAGAGGTAAGGAGAGTCAAGTGAACCCGCCACGAGCGTAGGTAAGTCAATAAGTGATGTACGATCACAACTTCCTAGTTATTGAAATCTTTAGTTGTTCTTAATTACCCATAGAGACATAAGCAGTAAGTCAACTTTGCTAGTTTGTTATACTTTGAAACCGAATCGATACAAGTTGAACTATTGTTCATTTCTTTATTGCGTTTTGAAGGAGGACCATTATTAATATTTGTGTTTGATGTTGTTAGACACCTTTTAAAGGCTTTGTAAAAGCCAACGAGAAATGTAAAGCGTGTACTGCGTGTAGTGTACAGCGCGGACGTTTTATCGACATAGTCAATACGATGTAGTTACTTCTGTTATAATTAATTTATTTACTCGACTATCTTTCTATCGATCGATAAAATGTCCGTACTTACCTTGCCTTATGAAGTTATGACACAAGTTTTATCGAATATACCGTGACTTTAGTTACAGTTACTGGAGGAGTCGAAGGTGTCTGCTTCGTAAATGCAGGCATGTCCTCTCCAATGTCTAGTACTCGACCATAATACTGACAAAGGATATTCACGAGTAGATCAATTTATCGAAACAAAATACGTAGCTATTTATTATGACGTAAAAAATGGACTATTATAACAAACGCTCTGCTTGACGTGTTCTTTTCTATAAACGAAAATATAACACCAATTTTAGTAATAAGAATTTAATTCGAAATTTGTCCGTATTATGTCGATTTAAACCACACTCGAAGTACTAAAGTCTCGTATTTATGAATAACTATGTATGTATGTAATATAGCTAGTTATAAAATTGTAAGTTGAACAAATGAGTTCGTGTAGCGATGGTATCGACACCACACTCAGCATTGTGATACTTGGACGATGTAACTGTCAAAGTGTTCCTTCAACATTCACTTGGAAGTTTGCTAACGAATCGATTCCATATCAATTATACAGTAAATTATTATGTTTTCGGCTTACTCACGTAATAATTTGACGAGGAACTCGACTAGTTTCAAGCCATGCTAGAGGCTCATGTTCATGAGCAGCATTCCGCGACCCGCGACACGGCGACTGTCGCGCTGCTACGACAGTAGTAGAATATGAACCTCTAGCATGGCTTGAAACTAGTCGAGTTCCTCGTCAAATTATTACGTGAGTAAGCCGAAAACATAATAATTCATTTATTATGTCTCACGAAGGTTACAATACAATTATACAGTAACCAAACGGATTATAAACAACTTCCAAACGTCCAGAATATATATTATAATCGATTAAGACTATAATAGATTTGTGCTAAGTTTCGTAACTATGTTTAAGGAACACAAGTCCATATTAGTGGTTCCATGTTTGCCGGTACATCTTGACTTAGCTCTCTCGACTTAATCAAACCTGCCTTTGATGTTAGCCACGGAGGTAATTTGCATTACAACATGTGTTATCTTCCCTCTCTGTCGTTCAAACAACACTGCGTCCATAACGTCTCGGACGTTCCTTTGTTTATCATTCTAGAACATTATTTGAGCATTGCATTATTGTTTAATTGTTACCTATGTACTATTTTGGTACCACTGTCCATAAAACACTTTCTATAGGCAGTTATGCAAATTTAGATTTTAAAATGTGACCAGTACAGTCTTTATTGCTGTTGCCAAAATGGTCTAATATACAGCATGATAACAATACAGTATGTGTATAGGTCATGCATGTACCTGGTTATCGGTAAACATGTTTCCACAAAAAGTCATTCAAAAGCCATAAGCCATGCCACAATATATGTAACGTAGAATCTGGTTTAAGATCTGAGGAGCTCTCTTAGTATGGCGCTACGACCCTACTTGTAATTAAACGTATTTTAATTGTAATTTAGTTCATAGGTCCAAAGTTACCATAGCGTTTTAAAAATTGTACAATTATTGATTTTGAACCTGTTCAAGTTGACGTTGACGAAAAATATAGTTTAAAAATGTTGATTCTACTAGACAATTTTTTACATAGTCCTAAAATATATGCCTTGACTCGTCATAATTTTAACTTTATTTTATAAGTAGTAAAGCTTCTTAGTTTATAATTTGTAATTAGTAAAAAATAATCATTCATTTATTTCTGCCGACTAGGTATATTTTTAGAATTTAGATTTTTATATTTAATGATAAATAAAGTAATTATTATAATACAATTGTCACAAATTTCAATCTCAATTTGTATAAAGTTTCAAAATTTATATGTTTTTATATGACAGGTATGTTGATAACTATAAATATGTGATATGAATACTGTAGGAAGATATATACGCAATATTAGCGTCCGTCGAGTCGACGGCTATAGAGAAATTATTTCAAGTCAAAGATGTAATGTTACCATTTTCCATCACACTGTATATAAAGTTAGCTAGATTGTTGAATTGTTAATAAAAATAAATAAAGAAAATATTGTCAATAAATAAATTCTAATTGTAATACAATGAATGAATGTCTCGATTTTACTTTGGCTTGAAGTTTGGTCAATTAAAACGTACTCAGAAATAAGTTTTTAGGAAACAAATTTTATAATTAAAAAAATATTATAATTTCTGTTTCATAATTAGGGAAACTTCTTGACATCTGATTTGATAAAATATTTTTTGCATTTCCACTAACAATTACCTAATATAATCAAAATTTTATTATTATTGTATTTATGTAATATCGATCTATATTGCGGTTTTTTAGTTTGTTTTAGTGGGAATCTTTTTAATTAAGAATATATTTTTGTATGAAATGTTCTTATGTGCAATTAATATTTGTAATAAAAAGGAAGTCTGTGTCAACGAAATATGGTTTTTTTTCTACCCATAATATTTAGTATTGGCAAACACGTATTGATCACAAGATTCATAGGTAATTCAGTACTTGATTTAGTCAAAGATGTTTTAAACCTTGTCTATATACCTACTTATTATTCCGAAATAATATAGGTAACACCGATAACAATTCCAAATTTCGTATTGTAATACTACTGATATTATCCATTGCCCAGGTTCTCTCTTCTAAAGTTGTCGAGAATCGAAACCTATTCCTTGCCTTACCTTCCTTAGTAACTCATTTTCAGTATGTAATAACAAGCGTCACGAGAAAACATCGACAGTTTACACAAAAGCCAATATCTAAATAAATAAATAAAAATATGTGAAGAACACAGGTATTGCAAGTATTATAGTTCGGGCGGTGGGTCGACCGCATACATTACGCCCCAATATAGGCAGATGATATTTGCATAGTATTGTCCCGTGTCCACGCATTAACATTTAGACTACACGCCGATCCCTAGAAACCAGATGCCAATACCTGCTTGATAGGATTTGGTATGTAAGTAATATTGTGTCTATAAGAATACTAGCTTTTACCCGCGGCTTCGCTCGCGTCACAAAAGGATAAAAAGTAGCCTATGTGACATATGCCAATACACACAGCGCCATCTATACTAATAATTTTATTTTCCCTCGAGAATATCAAATTTTTCCAGGATAAAAAGTACCCTATTATTTAATCCAGACTTCTAACTTTACGTCTGCAAAAATTCAAAGCAATCGGTTTAGTAGTTACGGCGTGAAAGCGGAACAAACAAACAAACAAACTCACTTTCCGATTTATAATATTAGTAAGGAATAGTAAGGATTATATGAAGGTGATGAGAATATATAACATGGCAATACGTCTAAGTTAGTGGTCTACCTACTTCTGCCTTCACTTAGAGTCTAAGCAGGCAGAGGTTTACAGTACACATATGCAGCACCGACTTTTCAAGAGTTCTTTTTGTGTCCTATGTTACTGTTTGTCTGTCATTTGTGTATAAGTAGGTAAACATAAGAGCCAAAAGGTAAAAGTCAAGTTACCTGTATTTGTTATAGGCTGAGATGGAACACCCTTTTTGGTATAGCAGCCGTTACAGCTACAGACACAATCGCCAGTGCACCGATATCTACAATCAAAACTTACAATCAATATCTATAATCATAACTAGTGTATCTTCCCGTCTCATATTGGCATACAGGGAAACGAAAAGGCTGACATATTTGCAAAGAAAGCTACTTTGGAAGGTGTAGAACTTAACATCGCTCCGTTCTACACAGAAATTATAGGTTTATACAAGAATATATGCTACAATAATTTTAAAGAATATTTCGACAAAAAATCAAGAGAAAAAGGCATATGGTATATGGAGAAAAAGGCATATGATTTACAAAGTGAGCCTCCGCGAATCCCATGGTTTGCTGAATGTCGCACAAAGAGGGCATATGTTGTCATGGCACATAGACTGCGTTCTGGTCATTTTCCATCCAGGAAGTTTGGACACTTAATGAAAAAAGTCGATTCACCTAATTGCCAAGTGTGTAATAAAGTTGATGACGTCCAACATTTGCTGATGGAATGCCAAAAAAACAGTAAAGAGAGAGAGATAGTGATGCAAGAACTAAAGGTTAGAAGATATGATGTCGGGGCTTTCGTTAAAATATTATCTGTACCAAGTTCAAAAGAAGCGGAACTTATTTATGAAATGGTTGGTGCAGCACTATCCCCCTCGCTTACACAGGAATAGGTAAAGTAAATTAGCAATAAGTGTATAATTATAATTAAATGTAGTTAGTTAAGTTAGATTAGGGTATGATGAGGCTGACATACCTTTGTAAAGAAAAAGCCTCTAAATAAATAAAGATAAAAAAAACTAGTGTATCCGTTATTATAAAGCTCCCGATCGATTTCGATCGTGGTAGCCAATCTCTAA